CATTCTTTTGCATCTTCTTGATTACGGAGTTGGGAGGATGGGGTATACCTGCAAAAACAGTTTTTCCAAAATTAACTTTGACATTTATTTAAAATGATAAAAAAACCCCCACAACCATGAAATGTCACAAGACTTGGGGAGGGAGAGAGGGAAAGAAAGATGGAAGAACTCTCATATGAAATTTAAGGATTAAAATGATATAAAACCAATACAATTCTGAATAAAGCAGCTGTTCCAAGCTGTTCTAAGCTCTTCCTAACTCATTCCACTTCTGTTTGGGAAAAAAAACCCCAACCCTCCTTTCCTACAGCTTCAGTAGTAACCAAACCAGTAGTAAACAAAAAGCTACAGATAGAAGTTTTGTACTGTAAAATATAGTGTGTGTTACATATGTACGATTGAAAAATAAAACCATAAGTTGGAAATCCTTTCCTTTCCTTAGGTTATGCCAAAATTCTATCACTATTTTAGTATTTTGGTGCATCGCTAAGCTTAGCTGGCTTTTCGTCATATGACAACCAAATTCAAGTCAACAAAGCCATTATCAAATTTTTAAACAAGTTGTGACCCAATAATTCATATTCCAGAGACATTAATATAAAGGTCTGTGGAGGTGTATCCCATTTATTTCAAAACTAATAGCATTAAATCATCACAAAGGAGACTAGGTTTAGCCTTTTCTGAAGGCAAAGAAAATAGCAGAAACGTTGTCTATGCCAACATCAATGGCAAAACAGCCACTGGCTTCAGCTTAAGCAAAGTTTTAAATCTGCTTCTGTATATTCCTGAAAAATAGGTATGTTACCACAGGTGTTACGTAAAATATGTGATAGGGTACAGGTATCAACAGAAAGAGCATCATGGAAACACTTGTCTGCTGACGGATTTCAGTGTGTGTCTTAGGCTATGCTATCTGCTTTTGAGAAATATTTATGAGTTACTAGCTCTCCTTCCAAAAAACTAAACACTTGGAGCCTATTATTAGTCGATATTATCTATTTAATTAATTAGATTCCCTCCAACTAAATGGTCTACAGTAAGATATCACTTATTAAGGCTATTTTAAATCAATGTGAACACTACAATAATTAACATTGCAAAAACTCAAACTATTTTCAAAAAATACATTCATTCTGCTTATGCCTCAACACTTAATCAACAGTCCCTGGCTATCTCCATCTCTTGAACTTTGCACAAATATCAGTTTCTTCAGAAAGGGGCTTTAAACAGTCATTTTACTTTAACACACTAAGGATTTTTTTTTTTTTTTGCAGCATTAATACCTACCTCTTCAGCACTCAAATGTTTCGGTCTTAAAAGAGAGTCTTTATTTATTAGAGACATACTTGAGAACCACTGAAACATTTTAAACAAAATGCCATTTTAAGAAAGGCTTTTAGCACTCGGCTTCATGGGACAAAGCTGCTGTGAAGAACAATGTGTATAGCACAGAATGAATTGCAGCTGCAATTTCAAGGCATCAACTCAGTAATCTCAGAAGCTGCATTAAGCGATTCTGAAGCTGCAATTTTCCAAATTGTCTGAGACATCTTCTGTAAATTCTGTAACACTTAAAGCATTTAATTAATACACCTAATGTTGATTATCTTGCTAGAATTCCTTGTATCAATGGAAAAATCTTTTTCAGAGCAGTTTTTTTTATGTTATAAAAACCATGACCTTACAGATACACAAAATCTATGAGAAGACAGTTGCCAAAAGTTTGTTTGGAGATTTTTTTTTTTTGTTTTCTAGAAGAGTAGAAGTTATCTCCAAGAGCCCTACATATTTAGGTATTCTGAAGCAAATATTTTTTAAATTAATGTGTCCAATGTCATCCTAAAAGGTTTGGCATGATATTGAAAATTTTTTCTATTTGTATATCAACACCAAGGCTCCCAGGGTGAAAATGATCTCAAGTCATTCCATGTAACAGCCATAGATGCTGCAAAATTATTGTTTTCAAGTCAAGCCCAGTGATGGTTTATGAGATGCTTTTCAGCAATTCAGCCAGCAAAAGCCACAGTTCTTGCTCAAGCGGAGAAGCCACTGGATGAAAAAAAGCAGAGTGGTCAATGGCCTTCTTTGAGGATGAAGAAAGAAAGGAAGAAAGAAAGAAGGAAAGAAAGAAAGGAAGAAAGAAACAATATTGTTGCCACCTCTTGCAAACTGCGACCATCACCATCACCACCAGCCACAACAGAAACACAAAGCAAACTCCAAAGCCACAACAAAAGCTGTTAAACCGTGTGGAAGCACCAATACCTGAGTCCCTTCTTAGGCAAAGTGTTCCTATCAAGATGTGGGTCGCTGCAGAAAAGTTAAAAGAAAAGAACTTCAGAGAAGAACAAAAGGGAAGGAATAAGATCAGGACGAAGGACGTACAAACATCGGCATCACCTTTTCAGAGGAAAAGGTGCTGGGGCCTTCCTACAGAAACATGCAAAAACCTCCTTACCCAGGTGCGGATTTGCACAAACATGCATCTGGTACCATGCCAATGAATCTCATCTGCTCACAGCGTGGTTTTGCTATTTCTCCTACCCACAATGAACAAAAATGGCTCTTTAAACGTCAAACGGATGCTTAAAAATATGCTTTTCAGCAGGCGTGAGGCAGACTATTTGTGAAAACTGATGAGAATCTTCAAGTCCAAACCACCTTCCCGTCATTTCTTTCAGCAGACACCATTTAGGGAATGCAGCTAATTACTGCTATGCAGCTGCAATGTATAGCAGTAAAAGTATTGAGCCCAGACTGTTTAAATTTTCAAATCTTAGCTTAAATTCCATTAGCGAAGTAAAATGAATCTATTAGTTGTCCAAAACCCAAATATTTACGTTTATGCTTTTACAACTGATGAACTTGTAACTGAGCAGAGTCTGTTAATTTGTTTTTAAAGAAAATATCCACGTGCTTAAATGAATAATTTAATGACAGTCCTTATAGCTAAATTACAGTGCGGGAGTGTTTAAAATTACAGCAGTGAGCAAAAGTCAGCTAGAATGTTTAGATTCGGGTCATCTTTTCCTAACTTTAACATTCATCTTTACAAGGACGGATGTACACAAGTCCCTGCAAAACACTCATGAGCCAAACTGCAATAAAAGACTGACGACACTGAATGACACGGGGACTTCACGACAAAAAAGACAGGCCTGAAAGGCAGTGGGAAAAGCAGCATGCCAGAGGAATGCTGAAATGCTAGTGAGAGTTTAGAGTGGTAGAAAAAAAGGGCAAGATTTTCAAATTGCCTTTGGCAAAGAAATGAGGGGAAAAAAAAAATACCCCCACAAACCAAAACATGTTCCCAGTAACAAGAGCAACACCAAAAACATGCCAACTCTGCCATATGCCATTCTCCAGATTGATTTAGGTAGATAGATGGGGTGTTTGAGGGGACTCTCACTGGCATGTCTTTGTGTCAGTTCACATCTGAATGATGAACACAGCAGAGGACTCGACTGAGCACAGTCTGTCACAAAACAATTTGCTTCACTGAGATGGGCAACAAAACCTACAGCCTTGTGCATACTCCTGTCCTGAGACAGCATTACCTGTCCTGTCTCCTGGGCAAAGTATTTCGGCAGAATTTGGGGCTAGCAGCAGGGGAAGAAAGAGGGCTAGAAGAATCAGTCCAACAAGACAGAAAACAAGAGAAGGAATATTAGAATGAAAAGAGGAGAGAACAGGAAGGAGTTATAATAAAACACAAACAGAAACCCAAACTGTCAGAACATTATAGTCAGCGGTAATTTTCTCCATTGAGATGCAACTACAAAAATTTTGCTACCTGACTACATAATTACACATCAGGATATAGCTGATTTCCAATGCTTGCAGGGGTACGACTGCCTTCTCCAAAAGGTCACGCAGAGAGCATGCACTGCAAGTCATTGTCTGATTTATCCCGATGTTAGCCCAACGTGCCGTTAATACAGCTCTGACGCTGAAAAAGCAGTCCCATTCCCTCCTCCCTGCTCAGTCATCCCAGCTCCTATGCCATGTCCACGCAGACACCGATGAATCTGATCGTGGAAGGAGCTGGGGAACTGATCAGTCGGACATACAATTCAGGTGATCATTTTTCAGTTGCATCCATCTCCCAGGCGGGTTCACGAAGCATTCACATGAATGCCTGTACTGAAACACCGTAGGGAGCAGCTGGAGATGGGACAGGCCAGCAGGGAGAGGCCGAGGAGGGATCAAGCGGCTAGGGAGACAGGGATGTCTCTTTTCAGCATGACCTCCAGTTTAAAAGCTTGTCCAATGTTAGAGACGAGAAGTTTAACAGGAAACAGTTTGCTTCTCAAAACAAAATAACAACAACGATGGAAGTTTTTTTGAATATCACTATCAGATCAACTAACAGGAGATCTTTGGAAGGATAATATATGATGCAAAATTCAAATATTAGGTATAATATGGTAGCAAGAAAAGTTGTCACATTAGCTACCACAGCAAACTAAAACTAAAAACCTCACCTGAACTCATCCTTTTCTCTGAACTGGGCTCCTTGCCTGGAACGGCTTCCGTGTACGTTCTAGTAATACCAGTCAGTATTATCTTGTAAGAAGCACAACTTGATTTGTATCTGCAGTGTTGGCTGCTGCTGCCAGGACTTCATTCACATTTGAGATACATACGAGCTTAATGGAAATGAAAGAAAAACCTACTAACCTTTCAGACAGCGTAGTCTTTACACTGTTGGTTCGGACAAAGGGAGTTAGAGAATCATCTTTAGAGGCTGGAATCAAGCCACTGGAGGAGTTATGGCTCAGGCCACCTCCACTGCTCAGAGAGATATCAATGGATTCACAGCTGGTATGAAGACTGCTGACAGACTGGTATCCAATGCCATCCTTGCTAACAGCAGAACTGCTACTTGCGTTGGTACCCCATGTTAAACTGTTGGAAGGAGCTGAATGTGCTGAACTGGGACTAGAAGCTAGTGGAGATTGGTTCATATCTGTGTTTTTACTATATAGAGGACTGCTGCCCCCACTGCTCAGCACACCACTGCCAGATGGTGAATCAAGATTACCCTGCTGGTTCATGGTAGCATGAGGATTAGAGATGACTACTGAATTTTTCATATTTTCTGCTGTTGTGATGGGAACTTGTTTACTAGGCTTGCCACCAAAAAGTCTGTAAAAAAAGATAACATGAAAAATACATAAAATGGAATATTAAATGCAAGGATATTTTATATCTAGACCACAGATCATCTTAGCTTCAGAAAACCAACGTTAAGTAAATGATCCTAGACTGGACATACACAACTATAAATTTATGAATCTCCTTGTGTTCACGCCACTTTCAATAAAGCCCAGAGACAATTATGATAGCTTCAAATCTATCTTAGGTGTTTCTTCTCTGAACCATGAAATAATACTTGCACAAAGCTAAAATACAGCAATATTGTCTTCTGCCACTTAAGGAAAAAGGATACCAGAGAAACACTGCATTTATTAATCTGAAGCATGGAATATTAGAGGCTGAAAGTTTGTTGTAAAGGTAAATTCTGTGCAAATCACCGAATGCTCTGCACAGAAACAGCATCTGCTGGGATGTAACAGGAAAAATATTTACTGGTATCAAATGTAGGTTTGTCTCATTTCAGGAGCCAAGCTAGCTGGAAACTATTTCTTTGGAGTGGAGAATGAGATTTTACCTGGTTTGGCACCTGGCACTGGCTCAGTAAAAGACTAGCTGAGTGCCAGAACTAGTGCAAAGGAGGGGAGGTAAAAGCATGGTTCGAGGAGGATGGCTGCAGCTTCTCCAATTTGCATCACTTTTGCCAAAAGCACAAGTGTCTTAGAAGTAAACATGCTTAAGACCAGATTATCAATCATTCTAAAACTGATCCTCAAAATTATGAAGAAAGTGTACCTTGTGACTCCAGCTTCAAGCATCCACCCCAAATACACTGCTTCTGTTTCTGCCACTTAGCTCCTGCAACTGCCTTTGGAACCTTAGTTTTCCTCACACATACCTATATGGATTTGCTTTTTTCTTATCAACAGTGTGGAGTATTGGGGATAAAACCTTTCAAAGTGGGTATCTATCAGACTGTAGTCCTCAGAATGCAGCACTTTATTCAAGAGCTCCTAAAGACTTCTGGGTGGGCATGCACTGAGCAGAACTTTCTCTGCTTTTGAGTATGCCCAGGCTGTCATGATCCCTCAGCACCTGAGAGCAATGCAGACATCCACAAACCAGCACAAATCTGGAAAACTTGGTTCAACCTGGACTCCACATCACACCTCACTGATTAGGAGACACTGACTCAGACAAGCAAAAGGCTTCAAATGATAAAACCCATTCCTACGGGGATTTAGAGACATTTTAGGTTTTATTTAGAGTTAATGTTATCAGAGCAAGTATGAAGAAAAATGTCAAACCATACTGCAATGATACGTGGCCTTCAGCAGCAATACCAGCTTAGGGTATTCCTGCTCCTATGCACCACCTCTTCACTTGTGCTGGGGGAACTGTATTCTTAGAGATAGGATCCTAGAGCTTAAAAAAAAGCCCCAGCCACCCACACAACAATTTTACAAGCTGTTTTTAAGCTACGCAGCCTTCCTGAAACTGTTTCACAGCACCTCTAATACAACTGAAAGGATGCTGCAGTGCAGCACAAACAGAAATGTGTTGCTGCCAAAGGCAGCGTCTGGTCGAACCACAACTTCGTAACAAATGCCTTCAGAACAGGATGCGGTCTGGACAGCATTCCTTTCAGTCCAGAGAAAGTCCAACCCAGCAAGACACTCACATCAACACAGAGGTTAACTCTGGAAGGACATACCCTACATGGAAGGACGTACCCTACAAGGAAGCACGTACCCTACAAGGAAGGACATCTGTTTACTCCTATCCACTATTATTGACAAGAGACTGACATATCTGAGCTGGCTCTTGGGTCACGCATGTCTCCCGTTAACAGAAAAGCAGCATATTATATACTGCAAAGCATGAAGGCCCAATTTAACAATAAAATGTATCAAGATAAATGATGGTTTCACTGAAGGGACATGCCGGATACATAATACCAGAGCTAAAGGGAATACTGAGAGAACAGAGACAGGGATGGCCCTCATCGTAGAATTATAGAATCTCACTGTTTATGACAGTATAGAAGGTATACATGTTTGCAGACTTGCAGGTAAATCTATATCATTACAAAGGTATGGATTCTCATTTATTGTATAATATTAAAAATTACAGGGACAAGAGGAAATACGCAAAAAACAACGTGTGCAACTCATCTCAACAGACTATGAAAATTAACCTCAAAATCTTCTTAATTGTCATTCTAGAAATCAGTAATAAGCAGACGAGGCCAAATTCAACTCTGATGCATTTCAATATGTGACTATTTAGACAGCCTGGTGAAAATTCGAGAGTAAAATTGTAAATCAAATGAGGGAATAGTTAAATTGAGCCTCAATGTCTTCTCTTTGAAGTTTCATGTATTTCTAATGTAGTACTTCAGTTACATAGCTAGCAACACGGCTTTCTAGTAATAAAAAAAAAAATTCCAATCAAATTTCAAGATTAATGTGCCTGAGACTTGAAACACTGAAAACCTGCATTTCTCAAGGGGTATATACCATAGAAATGAAAGGTCTATTGGAGTTTTTCTTTTTAAGTAGCCATTGATGAAGATTAAATATTCTAAACGACATGGCTTATCTAATGATAGCCAGGAATAAAATAAAGGAAGTATCTTGAATGATCTTGAATAAAACCATCCATTTAAAAAGAAACAGTTTACAGCTCTTTACAGCATTAGCCTAAGCTGCCATCACAGCCATTAATGCTTGCACTGGTGCTTCAGATGGAATGTGGCTTTCTCACATCACTGGAAGCAGGATGATGCAGCATAACTGTATGGGTATTATGGGCGTCAAGACAAAATGAAATGCAAAACACTGCAACTTGAAACATACAAGCTACTCAATGTCAAATTAAATTGAAAAATAATATTAACGGAACCTTTCACCGATATAAAGGCTTTGATGCACACTGCATCAACAAATTAAGTCCTGACCAACTCAATATCTGTGTTAAAAGCATGTGTGGGGCAGTGGTGGAGAAATAGAAGACAGATAAGTTTTTTGTTTAAAAAAATATTATTAAAATAAGAAAACTCAACCCAGCTCAGTAACCTTACTTAGGGTTCTTCTACACAGTCAAAATAACCTGCTGTCAGGAGTTTCACAACACACTGGCCTAATCCACACAACTGAAAGATGTGAATCTACACATGGCAGGTCAAATTATGCATCTGTCGTAATGAAAATCTGAAATAACTCTCCTGTTGTCAATTTATAATTTGATCCACCATTGGAGTATTTCCAGGTTTGTTACATACACATGGGTCCAAGAAATCCTCAGTAACCTTCAGGTAAGAAAACTCTTATTCCTGCAATATCTGCATGGATAAAGCCTTCAGGTATGATTTTTGTAACAGAGAGACTCGTATCAGAATTGCCAGACTTTCTGCCAGACAGTTGTTCTTTCCAAATGTTAAATTTTTGCTGCTGTCACGTGATGTACTGAGTATTTACAACACTGGCCAACCTGTTTATGTGAAATTAAACGTAAATACAAAGACCTTGATGTAGGACACTAAATAGTAAGTGCTCCACAAAACACAGCCAGGCCTGGCTCGAAGAGTCCTGATCATTCAGCTCCGACTAACATCATTGCACAATCAACGAATTTGTTGCCTACCTGCGCAAAGTGGGAGAGGCCACATCGGGGTACTTGGCTCCTTGCTGGTGAGTACTTTGAGCTCCGCTAGAAGCAGTCTGTGATGCAGGGTTCACTTTAACAGAATTACATGAGGCCACGCTTTCGTTGTCAGACGAAATCCCTTTCTCTTTATCAGTCTGATTGACTAATCCTGGCAGAGAGTTTCCAAGGATTACCTTGGCAGGCTCTCTCATTTTAGGGACAGGCAACCCAGCTGACTTGCTGCTTATGTTGGAGTCTATGCTACTCGTGCTAGATCTATTCCCAGCTCCACTTCTGCTACTGGATTTACTGGGCCGGGGTAAACTACGATATTGAAGATTAGTTCGGGCACTAAGTGCTAAGTAGCCATCATCCTGGTTCTGTGAGCCATCAACACTAGTCTTCCGACCAGTGGTCCTACCCATGAGTCCAGATGACTTTGGGATTTTTCCCAGGGTAGCCGATCTACTGGTGATAGTTGCCCCACTGGCAGTGATTATAGTCATGCCTACGGCTGACCCGCTCTGTTTCTTAAATCCAAATGTATTAGCATTAGCAGCAGTTGTTCTAGAGTTACTTGTGGGAAGCTTTTTGGATTCATCACCACTGCTGCGTCCTGCATCTGATGGGGAACGTTTAACATGTCCAGCTTTAGGAGATAGTCTACCCTTTTCTGATACCTTGGCGTCATCAGTTTTCCCTAC